GTGCCGGGCAACCTGCAGCCAGACACTGGGTAGGTGGAATTTTGCTGTCAGTAAGTGAGGTTTGTATGAGCAGAAGTGGAAATATCTATTTGAAAAAATGCTAAATACATGCTGAACAATTAGCTTAGGAAGCTCAAGGTGTTTGGAGAGGTGGAGGTTGTGAGCTGAGAAAGCCCTTATCATGGGTACTCCCCATCTTGAGGAGAAAATTTCCTGAAGAATTTCAACATATCCTTGCTCACCACATCATCTTTTCATCTTTTGGGATGTTTAACAACCAACAGGATGTCTGCCTTTTATGATACATTTTACTGGTTCTCTCATTCTTACAAGATCTGTTTCTTTAGTTATTTCCTATCTCATAAATTCCTCATGGTAGCTGCCTAGAGTTGCTAAGAAAAGGAACATATGGCTGATATGTTAAGTTCTAAGAAGAAAGCTAACTCTATCCCAAGTGAAACCAGGACAAGCTATCTTCTTACCCTTTCAGTTATCAGACTGTTTCTTCCCTTGCATCCATGCAGGAGAGGTTACAGGCTTCTCTTTTAAGTCTTATTATTGCACTTGTTTTGCTTTTTCCTTTCCCCTGTACGCTTCCCAAGGGTGGCAAACTGCATTTTTTTTTCTATTGCAAACCTGTCATGTAGTATCTGTAGTTAATTTGACAGTTAATTAACTAAATTTGACATGTAGGTAATTTCAACAAGTAAGGAGAACTTCTGAGACTACTTCTTTCAATAAATACCAGATGCAAATTTAGAAGTTGGAATAAATTTTATTTTTAAAAAAATCCTGTAAATAATGCAGCAATGATTTATTTCTCTTTTTTCACTTTTTCCTATCTTCTTCTTTATCCACTTTTTATGTTTAAGGAATAGTCTGCTATCTATTAAGGTAATAGTCTGTTGTGGTTTGAGTATGGGGCCATGCTTAGTCATGGCTATTTATCAAACACGTATCTGTGTTCATTTCCTGGGTTGAGAAAAGGTGACTAGTCCCCTTGAGTGAAAACCAGTGATTTTTATCTTGAAATCTTGGTGATTTTGATGATGTGTCATGGTACTGAGCCTGTTGGTGCCCTTACATTCCATGGGATTTGTTGGTGTGGCCATTGTTACAAACATTCCTGTTGATAATAATCATTTGACCCCTTTTTGCCAATATCTGTCTGAAGTAGTATAAGGCACACAGCATACCTTGATAACTGCAGAGCTTAGCCCAGCTACTTTTAGCCCATGGGCACAGACTCAGGCTAACAAGTGGAGTTGGTACCAGGAATTTAACCTTGAAATGTTATTGGTCAGTGAAGCCGTGAACTGTGTCAAGTGCCCCAGCCTTTTCTGCTGTGTACTTCAGTTTGATGCTTTGAAATAATATTTATATTCATTACTATTTTCATGCAGACTGGAACAGAAAAGTAAAATATTGTACAGACAGAGTCTTTTTTCAAAAATGTCTCTTTATATCAATGCTTTTGGAGTGCTTCAAGCAGATTCTTTTTCTGAAATCCCCATAGTACATTATTCATTTAGTTAGATATGTAGATAGGTAGGTAGATAGATAGATAGATAGACAGATAGATAAATATAATACTTTTTTCTAATGAGAGGTCTTTTACCACAAGTACCAGTCCTGGGTGTTAACAACCTGGTAGCAATGACATATTAGGTAGGCATTGGCCTATAGGTGGATATAAAATCTTCCTAAAACACAGTAACAGAAATAAGCACTGCAATTGCCTTCTCATGTTGCCCATTAAGCTCCAGTCATACCACTTCATATGAGCAAATAACAAGACATAAAAGACCTTCCCAGAGATAAAATTTCTCTCATCATTGTTTTTAACAGAATCTAGTAAGTCTTCTGTGTAGAGCTACTTCATACCTAAAAGATGGGTATTTGACCATATCGTTCTCCCCATATTTGTAAGTGTCATTCAGTTTGCAGCTAATAAAAGTATAGCAATTTTTTCAGTTGCATTATTCATTTTAGGTGTTATAAGCAGCACTGCACCTGTTACCATGTAGTCTCTTCTTTACACAGTTGTTGAAATAGTGTTCATTAGAATGGTGTCTGCATCTTATACGGATAAAATTTTCTGTTGTGTCTGCTTTTCAATATATTTCCTGTCTGACATCATTCTTGGAGTTCCTGAAATTTTCTGCCCCACCGATTCACAGCTTGCAACAACAAAAGATCTCAAAAATATAGGAATATTTCATATTGGTATTCTGCCAATTACAGCTTTATTTCTTACATTCTACATATTCAAATGCATCCTAAAGTTTTATGTGGGGTACTACTTTGTCCTGTAATCTCCTAGAAACAGGAAACAAAACAGACTGTTGTGCTATGGGGGGTACATGATTGCTTCTGCTTGGTGGCACACCTGTAAAGTGTGATTGTTACAGGGTACACATTGGGTGCTTTGGAACCCATGAGAATAAAGAGTTTCAAGAAACTGTAGATAGTATTGAACAAAACAAAATGCTATTTAAAAAGCAAAAAAGGTTAATTTAAAAAATGTTAATTTCAGCTTTGCTGTTCTGATTTATAATTAGTAAGACTGTCTAAAGAGTTTTCCTTGCCTATTATGAAATAAAATTACACAGTCAACTATAGCATTGTTTTTGTTATTTTTTAACACTGATACAAATGTCTGTCTCACTTCACTCTAAAACCATAAATAAATTCATCTGGAAAGAAAAATTATATCTAGCCTGCAGGCAACCAAAAAGTGAAATAAGTTGTTTGTTTGTTTGACTGAGGCATACACATTGGGTTTTCAGCTGCATATGTGCATGACATTAATGTCACAAAAAGATAGGTTTGTTTATTTCCCCACAAACATTGCAGTTCAGTTTTGGCAAGATGTTTTGGAGTAGAGTTTTCTTTCATAGTTACTTGCAAAGCTACTGTGGGTTTCAGTCCAAATTTCATAGTCATGAAATTTTATCCTTGCATAACAAATTCAGGACCTAAAGTCTACTGAACCAACTGTCCTTTTTCTGACAGCAGCTAGTAATGTTTCCTTAGAAAAGCCAAACAGGGCAAGACAGTTGTTTTTCTAGTCATAGCAAATTATATATGCTCATAGAATTGAAATAAATTTATGTAAATTATCTTGATCATGATACTTAATCATGCTCAGCTTTCAGCATTTTACTTTGCAATTTGAATATCTTGAAAAGAAGAAAGTTTTTGCAGTTTTTAAACGTAGCCTTTACTAAAATGTTATGTAGGAATCATTTAAGTATGAGTTTAATATCTTCTTTTAATGGAAATATTTGAATACCTGTAATAGTCAATACTATGAACTATTTAAATAGAAATATCAAGATTATACAATGTTATGCATTAGTATGTTGCTTCATAACACTGCCTATCAATCATATAAAAATGCATGTTAGCTCTATTTGAAAGTATAAGATGCCAATAAGTAGTTCCCTACTTGTCTTTTTTATAAAACTTCTAAAGCTATTCACATAGCAGCTTTCTATTTGTTGTATGATCATGCTAAAGCAAACAAAAATGTGAAAATATTTATTCCATCGTCTCCTCCTTGTGATGGGATGTATTAGGATAATTTATTTTCAAGGTGTGAGTATAGGTGGAGTAAAAGAAGAATTAAGTAAGCAGACAGCTTAGTTCCTGGAAAGCATCTCTTGGGAGTGAGTCCCTGAATTCAAAGTTAGGGATGTATTCTGACTCGGATTGAATCTGAACTTTGTCAGCGAGTGTGATAATTTTGATCAAAAGTTATGATGCAGTTCCAAATGAAGAAAAAAACCTATGAAAAAAATTGCATTAGCATAGATTTCAAAGAAACTGCATTATATCAGCTGAAATTTAATCATATAAATCTTTTGACATGTCAGGTGCCATGTTCATAATGCAGCAGTTTTCAATTTTTAGCATAGACTAGTGAAGTACAGTATTCATTGGAACAGAAGCAATTTTGAAAATGTATGAAAAAATTCCTAATTTTTTTACCATATGGATTGTTTTTATCCACCTAAAATGAAACTGAAATTCCAGATATATTTTATTTCGTTTTCCCCTGAGTCAATATGAACATGTCTAGCATGATGAGTGTTACAAAAAAATAAGAGCTATATTTATTAAAATAGCTTGTTATCATAAGATTCTGGTCTTGGCTACTAAAATAAAAATTTATATTTATCTGAATTGGTGAAATTGTAAAACACACAGAGAGAAAGTATACATATAGAGGAGTAATCTTGTATACTATTTCTAATGTACAGAGAAAGAAAAAATATTTTATCTTATATGTTCAGGAATTACTGTAAAAATGGCATTCTGTCCACTACTGTTCAGCATGTTCCAAAAAAAGTTCCCATCAAATGTATAATTATTGTCAACAGATGAAGTGCTATTATTATGTTGTCAGGCACCATGAGTTACACATTATTGAAACGTCAAATTCAGCATACTGTTAAACATATGATAGGTTTCTCTAGAAAAATATTGATAAAGGTTTTTCTTCCTTATGCACTTAAAACTGAAATGAAAAAATTAAACATTTGAAGTAGACTATCACTAAAAGTTTTTCAGCATATGCTACAAAAAATATAGAGATCTGAAGATATAGAATAGAAAGCACTGGTATTTTTCATTGAAAAATTAAAACAAGTATCCATACACAATAGCTATGAAAATATACATATCTGAGTTTTTCATATAGTTTTCTCTTGCCAAAGGAAAAGTATGCACAAATTTCTGTTCAGGAAGAATATCACTTCAGAGATAGAAAAGCATACTAAAGTCTGAATACACAACTCAAAAGTTCTGACTCTCTGTGATAAAGAATTAATTAAGTTCCTGTAAATCAATATTGAATGATACTTCAGAACTCATAATTCATATTCTAGACTACTTTTAGGAATTTTTTTAAGTAAATTAGAGCCTAGGAAAATCTTTTATGCTCATTCAGATATTGTATTTTCACCTAAATTTATTTTTTCTACAATTTTTTAAAGCACAGAACTGTTACACTTCGTAGACAACCAGTTGGTGGCTTGGGCTTAAGCATAAAGGTATGGGTAACATCTCTTTTCTTCTTTTAAATTTCAGTATGACCACTTCAGTCTTGAGATCTCATGGTTAATATCTCTCTCTTACAGGGTGGTGCTGAGCACAAAGTGCCTGTCGTCATATCAAAAATATTTAAAAACCAAGCAGGTAACTTATGCTATTTATTTATATAGTACCGTAGATACTAATAGTTTCAGGAATCTGTTTTTATTTCAGTAAGACAGTTATGTTATAAACAAAATATTTAAAGTGACTTGCAAAACCATAAGTATGATAGAGGAACTATATTGATGTACTTAACGTATATAACACTAAGGATAGAAAAAGTACAAACCAATTTTTTTTTCCCCACACAGTAATTCACAACCATATGGTATGACTAGGTGCCCCCAGAGAGTAATTTGTAATGTTTATTATAGTGAAGATAACACAACAACTAAATCAGTACAGTCTATCTTGGTTAAGTATTACATTGACATTTATCTAGCAAAAGGAACCTTTGGGAGACCTTTTCAGACCTGAAACTGAACTTGGCAAGTTGGAGAACTGGTCTGGAAAACAAAGGGGCTCTTTAGTGAGGAAAAGTTGCATGTGGGTGGGCAGTGCCTTGCTAAGGGTCTTAGATGACCAAAAGCAAAGTCGTGTTCTGTTCTCTGATGGGTGTGGACATGGGGATAAGCTTGTTCTTTTGTTTTATGAGGCATTCTTTTACATTTTTTAAGATTTGTTGTCTTCCAAAGCTTCTATGTGTTTCCTCTCTTCCCTAGTACAAATCTACCCATTTCATGTAACCTTTCCTTCAAAAGAAGACAAAGATTGTGATCCTCAGTGCATGTCCTGCTCCTTAAAAGTCTCAAAGCCACTGACATGATCTTTTTCACTCATCAGGCTCTTTTTCTGCTTTGCTGTAATGGAGGTTAAGCACATTTGATTGACACCATGTTTAGACTCATGCTTTACTAGGTCACACACTGTGCTGATTTTTCTCCTCCACATCTTCTTCAGGGGGTCCTTTTTTTACTTGAAATGAATACCTGATTTCATCTGATACCTAATTAATATTGAATGGATTGTCTATTCCTGTATCCTATTGGAAACACTGCTTCAACTTTCCTGTGTACAGAATTTACATTTCTTTTTATAATATTGTTTCTGCAGTGAGGAAGAGAAGGTGTTTTTATATCAACTGTATTATTGTATACGGAATAGTGATATGTTTCCTAAATACACAGTATTTATAACACTACTAAGAAAATGTGCATTAAAATAATAACAATAAATTAATGTAAGCGTTCAGATCGAAGGGAAGTAATTCAGGAAATTAATCACCAACAAGGAAAGCTATATCCTGCTCTCTTAGGGCATAATACTCTCAACCAAGGTTAGTAGTGAGTTTGTATATAGAATACTTACATTCAAAGTTTTGTACATTGTGACTAGTTATTCTTTACCTGTATTTATTTGTAGAGAAACAAATGCAACAACAATTTTATGGGGTCAGCTTTTTACTTCAAATTTGAAAATCACTCCTCAGAATGTACTTCTTTTAAGATCTTATAATCTTTTGTCTGAGGAAACTCCAAAATCAGTAGTGATTATAAGCAGGAGCAGCGCTGTATCACACTAAGCCCGTATGAAATGTTCCTGGCTGGATCAGTGAATGGAATGAAGACATTGACACACCTGGCAAGGTATGAAGGAAGTAGTCAGGCAGGTTCCAGTTAGCTCCTGCATCCCTTCTAGCCTGAGTGAGTCTGTGATTCAGGTACTGCTGCAGGTGCTAAAGAGCAGAGATCTGAGACAGAAATGCTTTTTGGGGCACGTTGCTTATAGCACTCCCATTCCAGTTACTGAATTTCTGTGCAAGAGAAAATAGAGTGGAGGTTTTTTTTGCTTGTTTCTTCCAGAAAATAAATATTTCTAAAAAGTTTCAAAATATTTTCAGAAGAATTTTGGAAGTGCTCAACCTTCTTATACTGCAAATCTTTTTTTTTTTAATATATATATGATCTCACAAATCTCAGAGAGGTGCTGTTATTCAGTACAGGAGGAAGATAATAACAAAGGCTATTCACAGTGTTATTCTTCTGGTATTATACATAACTGGAAAATTAAGTAAGAGAACATGTCTAAATTTATCTCACAGGTGACATTGAGGCAATATTTCTGGTTTTAGATTCTAGTGTTTTAATGTAAGAGACAACAATCTGGCAAGGGATTAAGGGAAAATAAGAAGTGTTCCATAAATATGTGTATTCTCTCTCCATTTATATAATATATATATTGATACACAGACACACATAACAAAATACAAATGTATTTACATAGAAAAGAACATCTGTAAGAAGTTTAATATAATGAGAATATATTGTGTTGTATAATGTTAATGTAATGAGAATATAATGTATTAATATAACGTGTTATACATGACAGAGAGAGGAGACCAGTGCAGATTTATCTAAAACTAAGCTTTGGACTGAAAATCTGTATATTCATAATGTAGATAAATCACCAATGGACTTTCATTTCACAAGGTGCTAATAACAGTGAAACTGATTGGCTGGCTTTAAGAGTGGCCTTTAGTTAAGCACTGAGATTCATTGCTGCTTCAAGAAAATAAACTGAATTGTAAAAAATAAAAAAAGGCTTTATTGTGCAGTAACATTAGAAAATAAATAATTTACCTGATAAAAAAGCAATTTCTTATCAGGCATTTTACTGTTTTCTGTACTTGAGTAAAATGCCTGAGAAACATGAGTAAAATTCTCCTCAATAACTAAAAAGCTGATTTCCTAAAATGGTTGATAATTTGTGATAATTTTCATGAAATTTAATGCCTTTTATATGACAACACTATCAAATAATGTTTACAACCTTACTTTGTATGGGTATAGTACTATTTTAGTTCCAAAGGTGGAAGCACAATAAAAACCCAGTTATTTCTCTTTTAGATCTCTATAACCTTTGTGCTATCTAAATAAAGTAATTAGTTGTCTATTTTTGTACTGTTTAATTTTTTCAAACATTGGACAAGTGATTTTTTGGCACTGACCTAAGCATCAGCTGGCAGCATTTGTGCTTCAGTTTTTGAAATAGGATGAACATTTCAATAGGATTTCATTTCATTACTTCACAGAAGCACATCCATAGCAGCAGTGCTTATAAATACTATGCTTATAGTTTTGACCTCTCAGCTGTGATCACTGTGTTTATAAATGTCAAATTAAGTTATCCTAGATCACTCTTCTTTCCTGAAAAAGTTCACTGAAACATACACAGAAACTCAGTTCAAGAGCATAACTTTACATTTTTGAAATACAAGATTATTTGGTCACTCAGTGCTGGAGACTGATGTATTGCAAATCACAGTAAAAAATACAGAGTTTTTCCTGAGCACGTCCTCCTCAACAGTATTAGAGCAAGTTTTGCTAATTCCAATGACTCATCACCAAGTCTGGCCTTTTAAATTTTTTCAATTGATTCTGCCTTCCATTCTAACAAAGATTAATTTTTTTTTCCTACCTCCAAAACTTTTGCTAAAGTTAATTGCAGAGGGAAGAAATTTCTGTGTCAGAATGAGAAAAAGTAAATGCAAACTTTAAAATATAATGTAGAGTTATAAAATCAAAAGTAAAATAATATAATTAGCCACAGAGTAATTTTTATCCCATAGGAAATTATTTCACTTGCAAAACCAGGTGTTTTTCCTACCCATTTATTAAATCATCAGTTGACTCGGGGTATTAACAACATTGCTGATAATCTCCCAGATAATGGAAAGAATTGTTGATGTTGAAACTTCCAAGTAATGTCCTATAAGCCTGATTCAGGCTGGTTTGGTTTTCGGGGTTTTTTTAATGTAATTTAATACAGTATTGGTTTTGTTTTTTCCTTCTGAAACTGGCTTAAGATGGAGTACATGGTACTTGTTGTACATTGATTGGTGAATTGCTATTAGTTTCTAGGTGTGTTATATTTTTATATATGTGCTATAATAATATTAACAATTTATTTAAGGCAAATAATGCTGTGGACTTACAGTCAAATAAATGTAGAGTCCTATTCTTAGAGCTATGTAATGTAACGTCCAGAACTTGGAAAGGAATCATATCAGTCAGGTTTTCTTGTTGTACAGTGAATTGATTAGATCAACTAAAAATACTTCAGAGAATCTTCAGATCCTATATGTGGATAAAGAGTACAAGATTTCATGTGTTTACATCTTGCCCTGTGTATTCCCATTTTTAATTACTAAAGATTCTTTATGAGTTTGTAGAATTTAGATGGTGGAGATTGTAAAAATGAATGGATTTTGAAATCTAGGTTCATTCTATGTACAAATGATTTACTACATATAATATTGGAAATTCTGATTGTTTAAACATCAAACAATAAAGTACTGTTTTGTTGCAGAACATTTTCATCTGATCCAACTTTTCATTTTGTGAGACCTTTTGCAATAATTTGACTACTGCTGCTAGCTCTGCTCATAGCTCAAGTAATATGTGAAGTCAGACAAGCAGCAATGATGAAACAGACCAGTGGGTTCAGCTCATGAGGTGTGATGAAAATACGTAAATAAAATTAAATAAAGTGCAATGGAATAGGATTAGTTTGCATTGTGCCAGTTTAAGAAAAAAATCTCCCTTAAGAGCCAAAATTAATTAAAATCTTATTTTGAATGCATTTTCCCACCTTCTGTAGCAAAAGTTGACTCATAACTCACGTTCTGCTGTATTGAAAAATCTTCTGGTTAATGCCAAGTCCATTTCTAACTGATGCTGTCCAGAACTGGAATGAACTCCAGACATTCAGCAGCTGAAACATTCTTGGTGTAAAACCATGTGCTCTGCAAACACAGACTGTGTCCAAATATCACATCCTGGTTCCTGAATTCAGGACTGTCTGGAGGACATGGCATCAGTTTGATGAGGGCTTTCAACAGTTTCCCATGCCAAAGATGGTTTGGTGTGAAATTGTCTGTGATACCTCCTCCATGGGTATATTTCTGGGTTTTGGTGTTGACTCGTCACCAAAAGGGTACAAGCACAGTAACCCAGCCCAGTCTGAACAAGCTGGTGGTCATGATGTGAGATTGCACCCAGCTGCACAGCATGGTTCTATCCACAGCTGATGTTCTTCATCCC